GGTCGTAACACGAAAAATTCGTAAGCAGAGGCATTCGTAACTCGAGGTACCACTGTACTATACTTAAGTGGAAGAGAATAATTTTATTACACAAAAATAAAAACTAAAGTATTAATATGCACACTACATTATCCAGTTATTTTGAAATGGAACAGGCAGTTTTTTATTTTATTCTGAAATGGAACAGGCAGATTACTATGAACAATTATCATATTAATTATTATTTTAGTCATGAATCCACAAATTCACATACTCTACGATTGTGGTTATGATCAAGGGATTTCAGATGTTTCTGGATGATTCCATATTGCATTGGGATGAAGAGGTCACAGGCAACACAGTGAGCAGCCTCCACCTTTTTTACAAAATGTTCCATACCTATATCTAAGGAAAAGAAAATCCACATATTACAGCCTGTAACAGAATACCCATTACCACCTAAGAAGACATCTGACTATCAAGGAACCTACAGACACTGCATCTTTCCTAGGAATTCCAGCAATCATCAGATCGATTCCAAGTAATATTGATGGAACTGAATAATAACAAAAGGTGGAAACCTATCCATACAAACTAGAAAAAGAGAGGGGGGACAGACAGCCATTTGTTAGGGCATCGTCACCTGTAAATAAAAATATTTTTCTAAAAAACATCCCTATTCTATATAAATATTTTGCTTGTAAAAACATTATTATGCATTCTTCCCAGTAAAGTAGCTATGAAAGCATGTGCATATGGAGAGAGTTTCCAAAGCTGTGTATAAGCCTGGACAAAAATGTTCATTGCCATAACAATTTCAAAAGAGATGTTTATATGCGCTCCTGTATGTTCTGAAGTGCCTCTTTAGATGGATTTACACAGCACACATACATCAGGATTATTGATGTACTAATCCAATGTCATGAATCAAGAAGTATTAGCCAGCAGAATATAGAATTTAGGACCATCATATAGAGAATAATGAAGCATTTGCTAATCAACCCTCTATGGCATCTTTATAATAATTTTACAAAAAAGGAACAAGAATATACATCACTGAAAATACATATCTGAATTTTAAGATACTTTCAGATCAAAAACATACATACCCTGTGTAAGATCTTGGTCTTTGTAAATCTGTTGTATAACTGCATTAATGTCTTCAATTGCTTTACGGCGTTCTTCTGTCTTCTTTGTTTTGTTAGCTACATATTCCTGCATTGAAGAAAACTTAAGTTAATATTGATAAAGTATAAAACCTCATACTGGTAAATTCAGAGTAATCTATGAAGGCCTTACAATCAAAATCCAATCCCAATTCCTCTCCCAATTTCTCCCAAGCTATGCATTTTCATTTCTTTCTAAGAATTAAAGACAAAGGGCAAAGCAATCATGTGTTATAGTGGAAAATGCAAGCAACAATACTTTTCTGGCATACAGGTAGTTCTCAGTTAACAACTGTAATTGGGACCAAGAACTTCGTTGCTAAGCAACATGGTCATAAAGCAAAAAAAATCATGTGACCATGTCGACTTACGATGGCAGTTCCTGTTGCAGTTGTTAAGCAAATTGCATGCAGTCATTAAGCACAACATCACGTGATTGTGACTTGCAACTTCCTGCCAGCTTCCCCATTGACTTTGCTTGTGGGAAGTCAGCAGTGAAGGTTGCCAATGGCAGCCACGTGACCACAGGATGCTGCAACTGTTGTAACTGTGCACCAGTTGCCAAGTGCCCGAATCATGATCATGTGACTGTGGGGATGCTATGATGGCCACAATTTTGAGGACTGGCCATAAGTCTCCTTGTTCAGCGCTGTCGTAACTTTGAATGGTCACTGAATGAGTAGTCGCTAAGCGAGAACCACCTGTACTTGATAATCTTCCACAGGAAAGTATCACAGGTCCATTTAGAAATATGAATAGAACGCAAGCTTAAGGAGAAAAAACCTACCTGCAGGAAGTCAGCAGTCTGCTTGGGGAGCTTGGTTCCAACAAATGTAAAATGCTCTTTATGAAATTTGCTTTCCAAATGATTGGTCATCTCATCTTCGTAGAAAGTGCGATACTTGCACAATGAACATACAAACTGAATCCTGTAAAGAAACATAAAAACAATTCTTTAATGAAGAAATCTGCTTTTTTGGGCAGAATAATCACTGGGAACTTCTCTTGACTTTAAGTAGAGAAGCTGATGTATTTTAGATAGATATGATCTATTCCAGTACAGGAAGAACTGCCAAGTGGTGTGTTTTATAAAACCATTCTGAAGTTTTATAATTGCTTTACTCTCTGTAAATCACCTGTCCCTAAACCATAATCTGGGAACTGCTGCGACTACCAGCCCTCTAATCTTAAATCCCCTTGTTTTCCCTCTACGAAATTGCTCAAGATTCCAGTAAAAAACTCAGCAGCGAGGCAGACTTATGAAGAATATTGGGGGGTTTTTTTCCCTCTATAACTTGTTTCTCTTTCATTGGTAACCCTAATTCTAACTTTTAAAAATAAGACATCAAGTCAACTTTCCCTATCTTAATAGAGGTTGGATATGTTGTTTTACAAATAAAAACATGTAAATATAGTGAAATAATCAGATCTGAAAGAGAAAAGAACATCCACCGAATCTAAGTACTAGCATAGAGTCAAGCCTTCCTAGAGAAAAGGCTTACCTTTCTACCATACGATCACGGTATCGTTTTTTTTGCCTCTCTTGAGTTTTCTTCCCAGCCTGCAATTTGCGCTTGATTTGGCTGATTTCTTCTTGAATTGTCAGAGCTCCTATATATATATATATACATATATACACATATATATATTGAAATAATATTATTTTAAAACAATATCTATGAATCCTAAATCAGTTATTTATAAGAACTTGCAAAAAGCAGATGAAAATGATATTTACTGATGCAACCTTTGGAATGATGTTCTTATTTGTTGTTACAAATCTAGGTGGGTGGCTAGGTGGGTTTAAAAACTGTGAAACTGGTTTCTTTTGGTCATAAAATGTAGCTGATGCAACATCTTAGAGACTGTTCAGTAAAGGTTGGTTAGAAGTGCTATGTTGTTCAATGTGCAGTTCAGGAGTTAGACATTACCTCACAGGGTTTAGGCTTGTCCTACCATCACCAAATTTTGGGCTCACATCCCCAGATGCCTTCAGACTATGTGTTCTATATCAAGGATGCAAAACTATTTCGTATTTATAACTATAACCTCAGTATTTGAAATTTATTAAGCCATCAAGAATTATAATTTCTGCTTGGGAGGTGGCCAAGATTTATTAATATGGAAAATGTGAATTTATATCTGATTGCAGTGGTAAATTACTAATAATACTCAGCTTGCCAGTTTAATCCCTTTTCCAAAACAAGACAAGAAAGAGGACTTTAGAGAATGTGGACAGATTTTCTGGATTGTTTTGTCTATGGTACTTATTTCCAAGCTTTTTAATTTCATATCATATATGGTCAAATAACTTTACTTGTAAATTCAGATGATATCATTTGATAATATTGAACACTGAAAAATGAATTTAGTATTGTATTTTTTCTTTGCCCATTGTTATGCTATCACTATTATTTTCTGTTTGATAAAGAAAAAAAGATGTCTATGAATTATTCAATTGCCTTTTAAAAAGAGCTTACAATCTTGCTTCCTTAGACAGGGCATATCATTATTCATGTATACTACTAACTGAAGTTTTTTTTTAAGTATAACTGTGTCTTACAAGTTCTCTCTTTACAAATTGTAGAATAAACATAAGTACTACACGCAAAAAATAACAGCTTTCTTAATAGCTTTAAGTGCAAAACTGAATTATAGTTTAAGCTTGGATACAATTCCACGTACAAGCTTTAGACAGAGGCCTTCTCCACCTGTTGTCCTCTAGTTATGCTGAGCTACTGTTCCCATGTAGTTACAGAAGTAGTTAAACATATCTAGATTGTACCACGTCAGGGAACACTAAATAAATCTGAAGACTGCACAATTTCCCTGAAAGATTTGCTGATTACATGAAGGTATCTATTCTGGTTGGCATTTTTGTGATCAATATATATGTTCCGATAATTCAATTGAAGTTACTTCCACACTGCTTTAATTACAAATTCAGTGGATTAAAATCCTAAAATATTTTACCCAATGAAAGATGACTCAGCATGCAAACACTGAGTAAGCACCGTTCTTTTAGTGGACTTACAATGTTCATTAAATGGCCATGTTAAGAACTAACAAATAGAAACATTCAAGTTTGTGCAACTGATCAGCTGAGAGTTAATTTGGAAGAAAAATCAAATTTAAGCAGAATTACTGAAGGATAAGAGAAACAGGAAGACAAATTAAGTAACAAGCTGAAATCCCTACTGAAGATTTCCAGTAGGAAATTTACTAGAAAACTAGTAAGAAACTGTATAGTTTGGAGACAGGCAAAGTCTCACTTTAATAAGATGGACCAGAATTATGAGGATGGAAAAATGCGAGGCATTCATAAGCAGGAGAGACAATTCCTATGTAGGCTTCTAATATTCTTCCCATGAAACAAGCAAGCCTATCGGTCACCTGTGTGATAACTACCTTTTTTCCAGGAAGCAGTACATTAAAAGTAATAATTTGACTTTGGTGGAAAGTTCCAAAGAGACCAAGTGAAGGAAATTTGGATTGTGCTACTTTCTACTCAAAACAGACCAACTCAGCCCACATCTTCACATATAGTTTGGAAATAGTAACTGTTATTTTTTTAAAAAAATGAATATCCAATTATACTGTTATTTGCACAATAACACACTATTTATAATTAGAATAAAGAAAATCAATTTAGTTAATTAAAGAGAATTATCTGATTATAGTGGCAGTGGGATATATTGGGCTTTAAAAGTAAAAGTAAAAGGGTATTCCCCCACCCCGGGACTTGTAAAAGGAAGGAGATTTGGAGTCTAATTAGGTACCCAATTTCTTGGACACAGATTATTGCACTGATCTTGGAAATCAAAGATTCAAAACTGAGTCTATCTCCACTAAGAAAGAATAACATTTATTCTAGGGAAATGTTAGAGTTACCATTTTCCAATCAATTTTGCAATTCTATTAACTTACCTATAAGCATTATGATCACAACAAATTTAAGTAAATAGTCAAGATGACAATTTATTTTTTTTAAACCAAGTTATGGCCTAACCTGCAAGTAAACTTGGCATAAAGATGAATGAAATGGCTCCATTTGTGGTAACGGGTATTTTAAAAGTCTGCACAATCCCAAGAAATAACCCAGTTCTTGCTAAGAGCACACAGATCTATGCATATTTACACTTGCCTTTCTCTAATTCTTCTTTTCTTTCTTCATCTTCAGCACCATCTCCCTCTCCCTCCTGAAATTATAATTAAGAACACTGAAGAATGAGGCTATCATTGCTTGTAGTCAAGGTCATAACAGATCAAGTAATCAGAAGTACTTAGCTACCAAGATAATTTATGGTGAGACAAAAATTGCTACGTGGCTGATTAATACAATAGAGTACAATTGTTTGATTATTATTAGCAATAATAAACCTTTTCTTTGCAAACAATGAATGCTGACAAATATATAATGTTCAAAGCTTCAGAATTCTGTACAATCCTTATGATTTCACATTTTAGGAAACCTTTCAAATTAATGATTATTGTGAAAACTATTTAAAATAAAAGCAATTACAATCTTAGAATTAACATTAACTTTGAATTTGGATAGGAATAAAATTAGTACAGTGGGG